AAGAGTTTGATATGCACGCAAAACAATTACGTAAAACTAAATGAAAAGTCATATTGACGCAATAGACCTTATGGATAATGACGTCACAAGGCTTGATGCCCGCGAGGAATGCCGGTCTTAATAGTCATCGCCTGGGAAAATTTCGATAGTTGTTTGTTTAATTTTGTTTATAATTTACTTTTCCCGGGCGATGACTACCAAGACCAGCATTCCCCGCGGGCATCAAGCCTTGTGACGTCATTATGCATAAGGTATATTGCAGTCGATGCTATCCTGTGTTCAGTATTCTCTCACAGACGGTCCAGAACAAACAGAAGTTTGCTGATGTCTGCGCGGTTTTTTACCTCGTCAGATAACTTTAATGTTATGACAAATTGAAAAAGGTTTCTACATAATTTGAAAACAACTTTCTCTAGTTTCATACGGTCAAAAAAATATTTACATGCCGATTTTTCGTACTGAATTGCGTAATATTCCGCATAGGAGCCTAGGGCATGCCTACAAGACAGGCTTCAATTTCCACCATCTTGGCCTCATAAACAAAGCCAAAGTTATCGTTCCACGTTCCATAGACTACGTGCCGGTTGTACAAAAGGCGTTTAACTTAAACGGTTGTCTATTTTGTATACTTGTCGGCTTTCCAAAGTCATATTGTTTATTTTCATAACTAAAAGTGGTACAAGACCAAGTCAGTTAAAAGTGAGTTTTTCATGTTCATTGGATTTAAAAAGATAACTGCTCGACAGGGTTGTGCATTTCTATTACTATCTCATGCGAGTTAAACGGTGGATAGAGAGTTAAACGCCTTTCGTATATCCGGCCCCAGATATAAATAAAAATAAATACAAAGCTGAATCTAAATAACGTAAACCAGAAAAACTTAGTCAAAGTTGTTATTTTACGCTGTACTCTTGTAGTGTACATTAAATATTACATTGTACATTTACACATGTTGAGAAACTAAGTACCTTGAAGTTATTCTGACCATACGAAAACCTTTCCACTTGAATTTCCTGATGCAATGATGTTTTTCGACGGATGGAAGACATTCGTTGACGCAATTGTTGTAAAATTTTCATTGAACATCTCCAAGAGAGGGGCTTTTGTCCTTTGCTCGACATGATAGAATTGAATCTAAGAAATATTTATCAGATGCCATATAGGTAACGTAAAGGGCAAAAGTATACGTGCTAATTATCCAGACTTACAGCTAAAACAAGTAAAAGGTAAATTAATTACGATGAACTGAGTTGAAGGTTTACTATACAATCTATGCAGGGGCGCCGGAAGAACAATTGGGCGAGGGGCATATATATATATATATATATATACATATATATATATATATATATATATATATATATATATATATATATATATATATATATATATATATATATATATATATATATATGTATATATGCATATATATGCCTATATATATATATATATATATATATATATATATATATATATATATATATATATATATATATATATATATATATATATATATATATATATATATATATATATATATATATATATATATATATATATATAATATTATATAATAATAATAATAGTCTTTATTAATCAATACTCGAAACACACGTCCGAGTTTACATGGAATTATAAGAATATAGTCTATTTTACATTAATTATTTACATCAATAATTTAACAAAACTAGTAAAATTCTACAATATTGTTAAAAGTTATTAAAATGTATCATACACTAGATAAAAATGAAAAGACATCTATTTACAAAAGATTTTTTAAATCTTTCAGTTCTTACTAAGGGCAGATCAAAGTCATGTCCCCTTTGCCTTAAAGTTCGATTTAATTTGTTGGGTAAAAGTTCTCTTAGTGCATTATTTTCATCATCTAATATCCATAATCTCTTGTCTCTCTTATTAATTATTTCTCTAAAATTAGATTTCTCTGTTACATACCCATTACGGTATGCACGATTTATAAACTTATCAATCTGACTAATGTATTTAGTGTAAGATGCTCCTCCCCAAAGTTCAGTTCCGAAAGTGAATAATGACATTATTAAACTCTGAAAGAGAAGTTCTAACTGCTTTGTTGTAAAACTATAATATTTACACACCCGTAAAATGTACATTCTTCCACTCGCTTTTTTTAAGCATCTCTTCGAAGTGTATGTCCCAATTTTCCGGTATTTCCTCAAGGGTAATTCCAAGTATCTTGAGACATGTTTTCCGTTTGATGGACGGAATGCAACTGGGTAGAGGTATAGATGTTCTCCCACGAACAATCATTTCGTATGTTTTATTCATATTCAGCACCATTCGATTTTCATCCGACCATAATTTCATATTTTCTACCTCTTCTGCACCTGTATCATCCTCATCATAGCCCAGGGCTTCTATTGTTATATCATCAGCGAATTTACAGAGTTCATTGATTGGATTGACTGGTTTAATGTCATTTACCATTATTGAAAATAGTATCGGGCCTAGAACAGTCCCCTGAGGCACGCCACGATTAATTTTCAAGAACTCGGTTGTGATGCCATCAACTGTTACTCTCTGTTTGCTATCTTTTAAGAAATCTATCATCCAATTTATGATGTACGTGTTAAAAGGCAATTTCTTAACTTTTCCAAATAGTATGTCGTGTGGAACACTGTCAAAAGCCTTGCTAAAGTCAAATGATAGTACTCTCACATATTTCACACCATTATCCAACCCTTTCAATCACGTATGTTGACATTTAACTAAAGTCATCGTTGAGTTATGTCCCACTTTATATGCGTATTGGTCAGAATCGATTGAGTGCTATATAACATCTGCAATGTCATTTTTGTATATACATCTCTCAAATAACCTCATTATGATGTCTGTTAGTGAAATAGGTCTCAGTTCAGAACTTGAGTTGATAACATTTTCTTTTGGTATTGGAACTATATTCGCTCTCTTCCATATTTCAGGGACTTTTCCAACTTTCAGAGATACGTTAAATATTTTTGTTATAGCTGGAGCTAATTCAGCTGCGAATGTCTTCCAGAACCAATGTGGTAGATCGTCCGGGCCAGATGATGAACGCTTCTGTTTTCTTAGGAAGTTATAGACAATATCGATAGAAAGAAACGAAATTCTAGTTCCCTCTGGCATTTCTAGTAACTGAGGGGCTGAATAATTAGGGTCAGTGTTAATAGTTTGAAAGTAGGCATTTATAACATTCGGATCAATCAGAGAGCTAACAGGTGCAGAATTTTTCTCTTTCCTGCCAGTAATGTTATTAACATTATTCCACCATTTCTTTGTTCCAGTTTTATGATTTTGGTTCTCATTTTGAACAGCATTACGTTGATTGGCGCAAATTAGTGTGTTAATTTGATTTTGTGGACGAAAAGTAGATTCTTCGTCACCTACGCCTATAGCTTTCTTCCTTTTTTTTCAACAAATACTTTACGAGAGGGGACATAAATGGTGGATCGCGTGACGAGGTTCGGACTTTAATCAGTGGAAAATTGTTCTCAAATCTCGGCCAGATACATTCATAAAGTTGTTTAACCATTCCATCAGGGGCTTGGTCATATATTGTTATCTTGGACCAATCCACATTCTCTAGTTCTCTTAGCATGTTTAATTTTCTATGTTCTCTCACATCCCTAAAGAATGAATTTGTTCTTTTTGCTTTTATAATGTTTCTCGAGTATGCAATAATCATATTTTGATCAGTTCTTACCAAACTTTTCTTAACTTTTATTTCTTTCCAGTAGTGAGGAACATTTGTGACAAAACATCTAAGATATTGTTACCTCTTGTAGATGATCTAACCAACTGTGCAAAAGATAATTGATTAAGTAGGTCGCGAATATTCACTCTGTTTATATCTCCAGTAATAATTATCTTCGTATTAAGGTTTTCCGATAACTGCTCGCATGAGTCCATTAGGAATTCTATTAAATCGTCTGCATTATAATTGTGGTCGGGAGGATGGTATACAGCTGCAACATTAAAACTGGAGTTTTCATGCAGTTGTAATTTTTACCCATAAGCATTCAAATTTCAAACGGGTTACCCATAAGCATTCAAAGGATTGCCACTTGACCACCACGCGGGCATCGATTTTGCCAACTGGGAAAACAATTTACCGACTATATTTGGCGAATAGGGGTGTCCCCCCCCCCCCCACACACACATAGCCTCTATAGAGGCAAAATGTGAATCCGGGATATAAAAAGAAACGAAACTAAAATTGAGTTGAGTAAAACGCCTGAAAAGTGCAACTTCTACCCAAAATTTAGGAAAATAAGTAGAGAAGGAAAACCAATTAGCGAGAAGCGGTACATGCATTGGAAACATCGGGAAAGAAGAAAAAAATGTCAGGGAAAGTTGACATCCTTTCCGTAAAAAAATTAATTGCCGTGCCGAATATATACTTATCATGTTATTGTGGATAAGGAGGACTTTCTTCTAGGGGTGGAAGGCGTTGTTAGGAGGGGATTTTAGGCAGAGCTGCTAGGGGTATATTGATTTAGCAGTAACGCAGTAAGTAATAATCTGTTTTAAAAGGAGCGAGATTTCTTAAATGGCCTAAATAAGTGATTTGCTGAAATTACATACTCTGCGGTTCGCCAACATACTGCCGATTACAAACCCACGACCATTTCGTGGGTCCCATGTAGCCTTAAATGCAGACAACCAACGGTTTGTTTGATTGAAATGCCTAAACATATAAAATTGAAAGGCGGTTATTTTGGTCAGGCATTTGCAACACAATATAGGGTATGGTAATTTATTATAATACCATAAGTGTTTATGACGTTTGCTACGTGCACGCTTGATAGTAACGAAAGGATAATATTTTGGGTGAAAGGTTTGCATTAATGTATTTCTAGTCGACATATATATTCGCGTTTTGACAGTTTTCTCATATACAAGGTGTATAAAAAAACTGAACAGATTTGAAATTGCTCTCAATTTCGCAAAACGGCTATTAGTATCCAGTTTTTGATATATATAGTTTTTTTTCCACCCATTAACTCAAAATACGATTAAAGCTTTTGAATCTCGTGCGCAAGCCATTTTTAGTTTGTTGGAAAAAACATACCCCCCTGGTTTACAAAATTTGAGTTCGAGAAATGTTTTTCATTATTCTACATTATAAGTACCCAAAGAAACTATATATATATATATATATATACCGGGTGTCCCAAAAAAAAGTACTCCTGTTTGATTCGTAATAACTTCTAAACAAGTAAAGCTTTTAAAGAGAAATAACTTGCATTAAATAGAGGAAGGACGAACTTAGATTTTGATATATTACAGTTGTATTTTACTTAAAAATTCACGGAGATATTAATGTTCAAAGTCTGGAGCATATTTTGGGATGTGTCTAAAATTAGCGAAAATCGGCATATCAAATATTAACTCCAGCGTTTGTTTGCTTAATGACATATCAGGCTAACTTGTATTTCAGCGAATTATCGTTAGGGTTTGTCTAGGTATATGGCGTATATTTAAACATCTTACATGTAAGTCTTAGCTCATTGTTTCCTGAAATATGAGCGTTCGAAATTATGCAAGTATTTAATATTAGGTCTTTACAAACTTAAAAGTACATGAAAGACTGACCATGGAAGGCAGGCGCTTAAATTTTTCTTAAATAGCCTAATTTTTTTATGTTTTTAATGGGTTCAAACAGACTGAGTTGATTATTTCTCGGTTAGAGCAGGATGAATATTATTCTTTATTGAAGAAAATAATATTGCTTTTTGCAAAACACATCACCGTATCAACGCTACTATTTTGTTACGTTTTGTTCCAAAAATGTTGCATGTCTCTGGGGAGTTGCTTAATTGTTATGTCTTATGGAGTTATATGGTTTGATTGTGTTTCATATAATTCTCAGTTTACTCTGAACTTGCCAAGATTGAGAAAATGCAAAAGAGTTTGGGTGTTCTTAACAAGATTTCAGAACGTTGCAGAAGCTAGAAGAGCTCCACAATTCCATTGTGACAGCATGCCCTAATTCAGAACAACGAACGATCCATGACGATCCTTCGCGATGCAGTGGTCTCATGAAATAAGGAAACGTATTCGTGCTAGGAACACACGCGAATTTCGGACGAATAAATCTTGCTTGTATTTTGTAGATATAATAATACTTTCTTTCATAATTAACCATTTGTCAAGTGTCATTTATTTACTGGCAATAGTGCATGTTTCAGTCGGGCAAATCTTGATTAATATTTGATACGCCGTTTTTTGCATATTTCAGACACATCCAGAAATATGCTCCCGATTTTAAAGATTAATATCTCCGTGAATTTTTAAGTGAAATACAACTGTAATATATCAAAATCTAAGTTAGTCCTTCCTCTATTTGATGCAAGTTATTTCTCTTTAAAAGCTTTACTTGTTTAGAAGTTATTACGAATCAAACCGGAGTACTTTTTTTTGGGACACCCGGTATATATATATATATATATATAAATATATACCGTATATATATATATATATATATATATATATATATATATATATATATATATATATATATATATATATATATATATATATATATATATATATATATATATATATATATATATATATATATATATATATATATATATATATATATAAAAGTGGATACTAATAGCTATTTTTCGAAAATGAGAGCAATTTCAAATCTGTTCAGTTTTTTTTATACACCCTGTATAGCTAATGCACAGCTGATCGTTGCAATGCTGCAATGTAAAGTAATATGTAATGCAATGTAATTCAATGTATATAATGATAAAAAATATAATTACCTGAAATTTCGCTTCACCTCCAGCTTTGACGAAGATGTTTGTTCCAGTACTCTATGTTGAAATTGAAATAAACTGTGTCACTTTTGACACGAATAAACTCAATTCCTCCTTGTGTATGTGTATATATGACATATTACACATGAACTGCATGATAGCGCATATATATATATATATATATATATATATATATATATATATATATATATATATATATATTCGTTTTCTGACGAAGGGGCTGTGCCCCGAAACGTATCTTTATCTTTACAACATGTATTTATTCATTTGAAGTTTAATAAAATTTATTTTCTATTTGAAGCTTTATATATATATATATATATATATATATATATATATATATATATATATATATATATATATATATATATATATATATATATATATATATATATATATATATATATATATATATATATATATATATTAATTAAAGTTTTCCGGATTGAAATATACTTTTATTGAGCTTTCGACTCGGTTACTTCGAGTCTTTTTCAGAATTCTGAATTCAGAATTAATTATAATATCTTTAAGCATATATATATATATATATATATATATATATATATATATATATATATATATATATATATATATATATATATATATATATATATATATATATAAATTAAGGTACAACAAATCAACAAAATTTACTAGGCATCTTTATTACTAAATAGTTTCGTACCACAGTATGTGGCACTCTTCAGATAAATTGACCTAATTGACCTAATTGTCTACAGATAAATTGACCTAATTGTCATTAGGTCAATTTATCTGAAGAGTGCCACATACTGTGGTACGAAACTATTTAGTAATAAAGATGCCTAGTGGATTTTGTTGATTTGTTGTACCTTAATTTATATATATATATATATATATATATATATATATATATATATATATATATATATATATATATATATATATATATATATATATATATATATATATATATATATATGATACCGCCTGATGATTCTTTACTAATGAAACAGACTGTTGCGGAATATATATATATATATATATATATATATATATATATATATATATATATATATATATATATATATATATATATATATATATATATATATATATATATATATATATATATATATATATATATATACATATATATATAAAACGACGTATGTATGACACAAGAAAACGACGTATGTATGATACAAGAACGTGAACGTGTTCAAAATGTTCTACAGGGTGTATAAAAAAAACTGAACAGATTTAAAATTGCTCTCAATTTTGCAAAACAGCTATTTGTATCCGTTTTTTTATATATATAGCCTCTTTGGGTACTTATAATGTAGAATAATGAGAAAAATTTCTCGAACTCAAATTTTGTGAACCAGGGGGGTGTGTCTTTTCCAACAAACTAAAAATGGCTCGCGCACAAAATTTAAAAGCTGCAATCATAATTTGAGTTAACAGATGGAAAATTTGTCGGGATTTTAATTACTGTACAAAATTTCAGACAATTTGGTTTAGTTTAAGCTCCTTAACTATTCACGCAAAGTTACAATTTTCCCGAAAAATCAGCTATTTGCATGCTTAATTAATGCATTTGCCTAATTTGCATATGTCAGCAATATGCAAATTAGGTAAAGGCATTAATTAAGCATGCGAAAGGCTAACTTTTTAGAACAAAATGAATAGTTAAAGGGCTTAAACTAAACCAAATTGTCTGAAATTTTGTACAGTAATTAAAAACCCGACAAATGTTCAATCTATTAACTCAAAATATGATTACAGCTTTTAAATTTTGTGCGCGAGCCATTTTTAATTTGTTGGAAAAGACACACCCCCCTGGTTCACAAAATTTGAGTTCGAGAAATTTTTTTCATTATTTTACATTATAAGTACCCAAAGAAGCTATATATATAAAAACCCAGATACAAATAGGTGTTTTTCGAAATTGAGAGCAATTTCAAATCTCTTCAGTTTTTTTTTATACACCCTGTATATACACATTTAAAACGTTCAGTTGAAAATGACGTTTATGGCAAGTCCAACGTGTTCAAAATGGCCTATAAAAATTCACCAAAGTATGCAAATATTTAAAATAGTGAGGCAGCCCTCGGTATGAAAGAAGATCTATATGTCTTTCAGTTCCAGAAAATATTGATACTTTTCTCTTGTTTGACCTGAGATGGTGGTTGTGGCTTATGTGTTTCGGGATTAGGTCTGAGCAAGGTTGTGTGTCCTCATCCATGATACGTGTGAATTCTTGGAGGGTAATGTTATTTCTCCTTTGGGACAAGGATGGTAGATAATCGCTGGGTAAGCCTAGGATTTTCAAACTTCTTCTCGGAATGATAATTCTCTTGTGTTGGTGCAATGTACTCAGGTGAATAAGATGCTTGTGATGTTACTCTGAGTGTATATCCACACTGGGCAGGCTTGAAAAATATACCTGGCCACGGTGGGAATCGAACCTACGACCTTTGCTACTAGCCCAATGCTCTGCCAACTGAGCTACGCGGTCAGGTGGGTTCGAGTATGTGATATTTCGGAACTGAGTCTAGTTCCTTCGATATCTATGTAATCTAGTAATCACGATAATTCTCTTGTGTTGGTGCAATGTGATGAATAAGATGCTTGTGATGCAGTTGGCAGGGCATTAGACTAGTATTCCAAAGGTCGTAGGTTCGATTCCCACCGTGGCCAGGTATATTTTTCAAGCCTGCCCGGTGTGGATATACACTCAGAGTAACATCACAAGCTTCTTCTCGGAATGCTTTCAATTTCAGCCTCGAGATAGCTAGGAAGACCGCCGCAAATTGGAGTACGTCCAATACTCAAGTAGGGGTCTGATCTTAGCTTTGTAGCAGGTAATACCAACTTCATCCGGGAGATATGCCCGACGACATTCTCTGAGAAAGAAAAGTCTCTTGTTCGTCTATTGTTATATACTAAGTGTCAAAGTTCATTGTTTTCTTGCATCTCATTCAGACTCATTGCATGATGAGAACGTATCACGTCTCCTGGTCCTGGCAACAGCTCTGAGCGGTACATATGACTTAAGTTTCCCGTTTCGGTTTTCTTTACACTTGGTATTTCATAAAATACTTATATCAGCTTCGCTTCGAGAAACATAAGTGGTAATCTGGAGTCCACAGAACATACAGCTTAGGCAAAACTGATATTGCATGCATGTTATCCAGCGTAAATAAAGTAGGTTCAACGGTTTTAGTTAAACTTACTTGACTGTATCATCCCAGGATGTTGACAAAACATATTTCCCATCCAAAGGAGAGAAGTACGCTGATGTGACCGAACGGTTATGCCCTTGAAACGTGCCCAATTTTGACTTCATACCTTTGATCCGTCGTAAATCCCAGATCGCAACAGTTCTGTTAAAATGATACAATTTTAAATATCTTTCCGGGTGTAAACAATCTAGAAGAGTCGTTAAATTGTAAATAGTAGACACCTTACGATGTATAATAGGACGGCAATGCGACGACGACAAAGTTTGTAGACTATTATTATTGATCGCATCAATTTAATTAATACTGCATGTTTGGTTAGCTTGAAATAGTGTCTTATATTGTTGAGAAAGTTCTACCCTGGCACTGAGCTAATTTGCAGAGTATCACTTCTCGCGTCTGGAAATGCACGCATATCATCCAAGACAGAAAAGTCTGTATAGTTCCCCCCGTTGTAAACATACAGACCGTGCATGGATATAGCGTCTCAAACTCCCGTGGGATATTTATTATTTTTTTTTCCCCTTAAATAATAAATACTATGAATCTCATTGTATGAATGGCCGTCGTCGTCACGCTGCCGTCCTACATCGTAAGGTGTCTATAATAATTTGGAATAAAAACCCACTTTTTTAATCAGTTAAGGACAAGCTAGCTGTAACTAATTTCCAAACTTATGGCCGCCGCTTCAAACTATAAAACAGCTATAGTTCATAATTACAAAAGTAAAGATATAGCCATCATGCTGGATTGAACAGATGTATTGCTTGTGACCATAGATATCTTATATAGACTAGATAGTGCATCTCTTTTTTTTAAATTAAAGCCAAGAATATTCCAGCGGTTACCCCCATTTGAATAGATGGCGGCCATGTTGGTGTTTCCCACTCGCTAATAAACGCTTAAAAAACAACAATAACTTTCATCATTTGAATAGTTTAAAATGTATTTGGAATAGGTTTACGGTATTTATGGTCCGTGTTTAAGAAATAGAAAACATACGAATCTTCTCATTTCACGGGAATGTCCTGAGTCTGCAATCACGGCTTCAATTTTTGAATTGTAGAATAATTAGATACACTATCATGATACTATCTAGTGTATATAAGATATCTATGCTTGTGACACCTTAACTATAAAATAGTTAATCAAGTTTATTTAATATACTGACGCGTCTGCCGAGGATGTACAGAAGAGGTATTCATTCGCAGGGTGACAGTCAATACATTTTATCGCTTTCGTATGACACAAGTGGGAAGTATTCTTGCTTCTACATTCGACATAAAAAGAAAAAATACAATTAATATTCAATGTAAGATGGTTGGACAGTATTTTAGCTTTTCAACAAAGTGGAAATTAAGGTGACACGCAATACATGATCCATTTGGAGTTGTTGTTCGAAGGCCATAAAGCACTATTCACAGCAGTAGCATAGGAAAATATTTACAGTTATAGGATGGCTGAAAACAAGGGATCATGTTCACTCGAAAAAATTAAAAGATCGAGGCTTGCAAATGCCATTTCCTACACTTTTTTGCATTTCAGAGTGCCATTTCCTACACTTTTTGGCATTTCAGAGTGAAGTCCATACGCGTGTCGACATAGCAACGAACTATATGTGTTACCAAAACTAGCATAATTTGAAAGAAGACATGAACGTCCCGATTAGATATATGTATATATTAGATATATATAAACCTAAAAATACGGCTTCTTAGGAGAACCAATTTTGGAGAGCCAACCACCTATATAGTTAATATTATAGACGAAAACGTTACTCAATTCTGATTGGGTATTAGAGCAGTGTAATTATTTTTTAACAATTACTGCAGTGCAAATATTAACAAGACAAGAACGAGCCTCGAAACGAGGCAGTAAAAATCAACATGGCGACAGATGTATGTAGGCCGTGGATATTCATCCGACACCCAAACTCGTCATCTGATGGATTCATATCTGAACTCAAAACCAGCTTTTGCTGTTGAGGTTAGTGTAATCAAATAAAGTTTTTACTTACTTACTCATCCGACATTCGCAAAGCGCATACGCAAACAGAAATATATTTGTTTTGTTAAGCCGAGATGGAAAAGTTATTTTTCCGTACCCGTTTAACAAAACGCTATTTATCCGACGAATGTCTCGGCAATCTTGATACTTTATACCGAAGAATTCACATAATTGTCTTGCCCAATTCGACTTACTTCGACTCCCTTGTATCCAAAACTGTCATATGGCCGTCAGTAAATGCCAACAGAAATGTCTCACGTGAATTATATGGATATGAGAAACTATTAATGCCACGATCATTGGATGCATAAATCTGTAAAAATAAACCGTTTGTTATATATGAACAAATAACATCCGATTTTTTTGACAAATATTCACTCTTTTTAAAAAACAATCGGAGTTGTCATGGCTGAAGTAAATTATCATTACATTTCCTCTTTTGAAACGTTTTGACATGTCGAAAACAAATCATTCTATGAAAGAAATAATAGGGGTCATGACCTTATTTTTGAATCAGTTTAAACCCCAAATGTATCCGCCACATTGAAACATTGTTGGAAAAACAAGCAGTTAGGAGTAATTATTAAAAAAATCCTTAATTGATGTTTTACACTAACCAGCTATAATTTATCTTTAAAACGAAAACGCTGATGCTTGTTTAATGAAGCCCCAATCAAACGAGGATGAGAGTTGATGGGAGTTGGCAAGCGAGAGTTTCCAGGGGAGCGTAACCGGCAAGAGTTGCATGAGAGTTAACTGAATACTACTTATTAAACGAGCAAAAACTCTCCTCAAGTATCATCAAAATTTGAACCAGTTCAAAGAATGCATGCATGAGAGTCGATGTGAATTAAAGGTCAAATGAGAGCGAGAAATTTGGAACTCGTATTTTCGTTTGACCAGGGCTTTTTACCTCATCAAAAACACAAGTGTTGAAATCTGCACGTTTGAATGTTCCATCAGCACCACAGGACATTAAGTCGTTTCTCGTTGGGTGAAAACACATCGCTCTCACTGGGTAAATGTGCGGACGATATATGAATATTTTACTGTTCGTACTCGTCGCGTCCTAGAATATGAAACAGACAATGTTAAAACTGGTCTTGTAATTGAACTTTCCTGACACACCAAAACAAAAGACATTTTGACAGTTGAAAACTTGACGTATTAAGTTGTTGTGTCATTGAAACGAGTAATTTACGGAGGTATAACCATGAATTTGCCTCTGTCAATGTTTTCATGTGCATAGTATTAGCAAGTAATAGTACAGATAGATAGACAGAAAACTTTATTCATACAGGCCGACTTCGTCAACCGAAGCTGCATGATTTCCACGAGGGGCGTACGCAAAAAATAAAACTAGGGATCCAAGGATAGTGTAAAGTTTCATTAGAGAGTTTAAGCTTCGCGTTATACGTCAATTAAACGGCAAACGCCAGGCAAAGAAAAATTTTACGATATTGGGCAATAAAGAGTAAATTAGCTTGCTGTTTTAAAACTGAAATACATAATTATTCTTTCGACACAAGAAAGAAAATATGAAACAAAAACGTTCAACAAAAATTTTGCCTAGAAAATTCAAACCTGCCGTTTGCCGTTCCCGGAAACGTGAAGCCTAAACTCCCTATTAAAAAAACACGGCAAGAACTGTATAAGGACGACGACAACCTAGAATACTCAACAGTAAGAGCAGGTATAGGCAGCAACTGCTAGAGCAGGCACGTTGCTCAAAAATATGTTGATTTGAACAACGTTTTTACGAGATAAACAATTCCTTATCACTCCCTTCGTAACTCGTTTATTAAATGTTGAATTGCAAGACCTCTTATTTGGGCATGACGACTTTCTGTTTTGTAAAATGTAAAGTTGATGGCTTACACTACGAAATAAACAGCATAGGCATTTCATCTCATCTATTGTTTCTAATGCGTTCGGCACATGAGTAGCGTGACGTTTGAAACAAGCCTATCAGAAACGTCGTGCCTCGTGGAACTGATACAATATATTTATTTATTGTGATGCTACACGCGACAACTCGAAACTTAAATTGTTTCACCAACAACCAAATTTTGTATACTCCGGCTAAAACTACATTTGCATTGGGAGCTGTCGCTAAGGGGCGGACCATTAGAAATCCCGGGAGGGGGGGGGGGTGAAAACTCCCAAAAAAAAATTCGTGCAAAGGAAAATGCCTGGAAAAAAAATTCGTGCAGCCATTACGTCAGAGAAAAAAAATTCGTGCAAGCAAACAGCGAAGTACAAATAGTCTTGAAAAAAAAATTCGTGCAGAGGTTAAATGCATTAAAAAAATTCCTGCAGAGACACGAGACTGAAAAAAAAATTCGTGCCGCAAAAATTTTATACCCCCCCTCCTGGGATTTCTAATAGTCCGCCCCATAAAAGCTACTGATATACTAAACTTATTTAAAACTATGACTATTCCCATCATCCTTTTAGGGCCCATATTGCACATTTGTCCATTGCTTCAGTGGTTCTCTTTAATTGAAATAGCTGTATAACTAGTTAATACGACGTTAATTCATTACAAAAAAATAAATCAAAAACACAGAAACGTAAAAACGAGGCGATTCAAATAACGCATTTTATCCCCTATACCTGTTCCCCATTTTATCCCCATATCTGTTCCGCTTCCGCACCTAATTGTGACATGTTTCACAATAACAAATCTCAATGACCTTTGACTTTATATTCCCAAGATCAAGTTGTTTTAATTTCATGAGCCATTTTCAGCTTTTCGTATGTATTCAATAATGTCACTTTAGATGTCAATAGTTTCACAGTTATAGCAGTGTTTAATTTATAGCAGTTTTGACAAGCTTCAACACAGATAGATTCTTGTAAGATCTGTTAGAGATTCTTAATCAATGAGAAATTCTCATTACATTGAATGTTGCATTGACGTGAATGGCATTGTCATTGAACACGAGTTTACCAAAGTTTACACCGTTGTGCACTTGTGCCAGGGCCTTTTTTTAACATACAAGCTGGGGAGGGGGGTATTTGCCCCCCAGTCCCCCCTTGTGCCCCCCCCCCCACGAAATCACATTTTGCCCACCCAGGAAAAGTCCCTTTTTCCTAATTTTATACCAATAAAACAGCGAAGAATAACAAATAAATAAACGGAAAGTAAGTTTTAGGCTTTATCCTTTGTCCTTGTTTAACAAAATCGATCTAAATTGTTATATACGTTTTTCTACCACTAAGTAATGATAAATTATTGTTGATAATTTTTTATTTTTTGATTGCTCAGAATGCAGGAACAAGCATTTCCAGGTTTCAAATTTGAAAAATTTTCTGGAGATTATGCCCCCATACATGTGGCCTTCGGCCATTGGTATCCCCCTCTAATAAGTATAATCCCTCGGGTATATTCGACGGTCCACGATCAAAATCAAGACCATCTCTGTTCGTCGGACTCTATATCTTACCCTCGTTCGTTCCCACCTCGCATATGCGTCCCAAGTTTGGGCTCCACAAACTGTTGACCTCATTAAGCGTACAGAACGCGTTCAACGACGTGCGTCGAAGTACATATTGAACCTACCGTTCTTCTGTGACATCAACTATAACCATCGTCTCTCAACATTAAATCTACTACCTCTGTGTTACTGGCACGAGTACCTAGACATATTGTTCCTTTTCAAATCACACCATGACATTATTAACCTAAGCAGCGACATACTACCACACACTCAAAATTCAAGTCAACGTACCCGATCTACAAACCCTAACTGCCTACAATTTCAGACTTCAGCATGCAAAACATCTACCTATCAAAAATCATATCTAATAAGGACTACTAGAGTCTGGAACACACTGCCAATGGATTTAACTATTAATAGCATGGCAACTTTAAAGGACTTTAAAAATAAGTTATTAATCTATTATAAAACAGCACTAGATAAATGTTATGACGTTGACGATCCACGAACATGGAAATCGGTTTGCTTAAAATGCGACCAAGCTCGCGACCTGACAAGGCCGATAACGTGTTGTTTTTAGATTTAGTTTTCAGAAGTACCTTTTCACATTGGTATCTATGGGGCCTATTCAGGTTTTGCTGAAGGTTTAGGATTGTGAGGGTTTCAAACGTCTTCTGACTCAGTCAGCTTCCAAAAATGGAAGGGGTTCTGCGGGTCGCAATGTGAAAAGTTGCATCTGATAGTTCGTTAGTAATTGATTCTTTCTATGTACGTATATATAGTGTATTTGTCTAACATTTAGGGATCGCAGTAATTGGCGCAAGCTGTTGCGATTGCCCTGCCAGTTTTTTGTGTTAACGTTGTTTAAATCTGGCAAAGTTAATAAATTAAATCATTTTATACAACTGAAGTTCATTATTAAAGAGCTCACAAGACTCTCCCCTTGATGAGTAAAATAGTAGGGATGTTAATTTTAACATGTCAGTAAATTTGGTTTCACTGAAAGTATATCAAAAATCTACCAACCAAAATACTTGTCTATTCCTGTTGTAGAAGTTGCTGAGATTTCATGAGTGTTTCACTAAATCTCAGCTATTTAAGGTGGCTTGACGTTCAGTTTTACTAAACTAACAAGACGTCTGCTCAGGTGTTGACACTGGCCTGAAAATGACGACATACGCGCTATGGTGTAATAGACATGGGAGTGCGGTAGATACCATAGATTTATGGTTTTTAATATTACATTAATTAAAATCTCACCCAGTAAATTTGTAGTTTCATAATGACGTAAGTAATTGTTTAATTAACTGGTTGAGATATCCATTTGAATGTTCTGCCTTGGATGAACTGAAGGTGAAAATGCCAATAAGAATGATAAGAAACAAAATTGGTGTGGATAAACTACAATTTTTGTTAGTAACTGTTGGGTTAAAACATTATTAAAAAATAGTCTATTATTAGACTATGTCAAATATTAATGTCGATAGACAATTGACAAAGAAAATCAATATTTTGACAACAAAAAGCAGAAACTGTTTGAGACTTAGAGTTGCACAAAGGAGGACTGACCGCTTATACCGTCATGCTTCGCATGATATTTACTTCCCAGCTGTGACCAAACAAAAATGGGTGGCAAGAAAATGCGAGATATGCTATGGTGGTTTTATTTATAGACAATATAAGCTATGAAAAATATTTTTATTTTGACATTGTGTATGTACAGTTTTATGAATTATTCATTGAAGTGCATGGTCGCCAGAATAATTACCGCTTTGACTTGAGCATGTGAAAAGCACTAATTTGAATTGCATTTTACTTGCAGTCCAAGTGGGCTTGTCAACGGATTGTATCGTTTTATTCATATTTTAAGATTGGTGAAATTTAAACCACTAAAGAGCCCCTAAGAGCCCACGTTTTTATGTGAAAAAGCATGGTAAATATGCTCAATATTTTAGTGCACACAAGGTGAAAATAAAGTGAAGTCCAAAATGAATTCCCATATAAACCCATTAGCAGGCAATGCTGCCAAATGCACCCTACTTTAGTATTTACTCTAATGCCAGACAATTTTACTTGTCAGTGGTGGAGCACTGGACATTAATGGGTTAACAAACCTATCTGCCAATGCATCTTGTTAACCCCATTAGCAGGCAATACACCCAAATGTGCCCTACTTTACTATTTACTCTGTCAAATGCCAGACAATTTTACTCATCAGTGGTAGAGCATTGGTCGTTAATGGGTTAATAACCTATTCAGTTAAATCCCCAGCAGTTTGATTCTTCTAATATTTTTTCTTTTCTCATTATATTTATATAGCTAATTGAAAGCATCAAAGTTTTGCGACAAGAGTATCAAACTATTGCTAATGCAGAGCTCAAACTTGGATTAGATGTGAACCATTACATGGGAAGGTTTCTCCTAATAATGCTAAGAACAATTCACAAACTTTTAAACTTACTCCTGGACATTTGGAAGACTCATCAGACTCAAAAGTTGAAAGTTCTAAGGGACCGTTAGTTAATTATAACCAGGGGGGCTGGTGTTTATTTTTTTAAGGAGTTTATCAAGGAATGTACCCCCTAAAATTCAATGTTTAAAAAATTGTACCCCCCAAATATATCATGTGAGAAAAATTAACCCGCCCCCCTCGCCTCCCCAACAATTATTTCCTTGCGCGCACAGTTTTACGTTTTTAAAATGTGTTTTATATTAAATATTGCGGGTTTTGGATCGAACTTTATGGATTAAACAATCAAGAGCATCATTTGTTGAATGTTTAAAGTTGTTGAAAGCAATTAAAGTTGTAGAAAAGGTGTTGAAAGTATTTTCGAAAGCAATGAATTATTACCAAATGACCATAGATATCTGCAAATGATGAATAATTACACGAGTTACACTTGCTAGGAAGATGGCGACCATGGGACAGCATTTTTACTGAAGTTACACATCTGTACATATTTAATTAATCTATGGCTGGGGTTGAGATTATATTTTGTATAATTTTCATTTAAAAATATTTTGTTTGATGTTTTGGTATTTTGAATTTTATCAAAATGTTCTGTTTCAATACTGTTTTTTGTGCTAATCTAGAAATTTCTTTATTTTTGCCCAATATTTTCATTGTATAGTATCAAAGTCAAGCAATGTATGAAATTGCTAGAACTGAACACTGTACCCCCAATTTTTCATTGACTTAAAAAATGTACCCCCCACTTTTTTCTGATTTTGAAATTTGTACCCCCCTATTCTGAACACCAGCCCCCATTTGGGCATAATTAATGAACTGTCCCTAAAGGAACGTTATCTCTCACTTGACGATGAGGGGAAAGTCAAATGCTGAATTTACAGAAAGCAGCCAACCCCATTATAGAGCCAGTTATACAGTTGGATCGCATGCCATTTGGATTGTTGGAATATGTAATCCAGTTCTTTACAGCAATAAATATAAATCAGGTACAGTCCATGCAGTTGTTTGATTTGTCATCTGCTACTGGCAGTACTGTATACTCTATGGAAATGATTCAGCTTACACAAATAGTTGTGCTGCATTAGTGTAGCTGAGGTTATTTTGTTTATCAAGAAAGCAAACATATATTTTCTGTCCAATTTCAGTTTCATTTTGCGTAAAACTGTGTTGCCAAACAGTCATGCAATTGAGAATTGTAAGAGAGTTAGCATACAAAAATATACATAATATATATTATTATATGCACAAGGTCAGGATATGAGGTATTCTGCAATCTGATTGGTTCTCTACTAACAGGATATTAGCTCATATCCTGCTAGTAGAGAAAAACAAAATGGCGGCTCAAACTGAATTTCCAACATTTTGCGAACGAGAAAACGGCAAGTTGTTCGCTTTTTATAGCTTTTACAGGATTAAAAACAATAAAAAAACTCCCACAAATTGTTTACAGGTTAGAAAATGAATTTTTAAAATTTAAAATGGTTAAAAATATATATTTTTGAAAAAATAATCGGCCGAAAGAGCGAAGATAAAAACATAAACAAAATAGAAAAATATTGAAAATATCCGAAAAGCAAAGTCTGTGAATTCAGACCTTGTGTATATAATAAAATCACTAAAACCACTCACTCTCGTCGAATATGAGCGATAGCCGATTCGGCGCTACACGCCTCATCTGATATCAGCTCATATTCGACTCGAGTTCGTAGAATAACTGTTAAATATTATAATAATCAGTATATATTGTAGATTGTAATGTATTGCTTTTTTTCAGATTGTTGTACCTAAGACTACCAGTTATGGTACTTTTTGCAGGCCCAATGTGGAGTGGGCAGACTAAGGAGAACCAAGGGTATACTCAGAAGGTATGTTTTCCTTTTATATTTTCTCATTGTTGGCTTCTAAGGGAGTCAGGCAAATTACATCAGATCTACACGAGCTCATACTCAGTGTAGGCTGTGCTGAATAGTTGTTATTCCTGATACATTTTTTCACCCTCCCTCCCCCCACCTGTCAGATATCAGCTTTTTGTCGGCCCAACAACAGGGAAACAAGGGCGCTATTCCTTTGAAATGATATGAAATTACAGCAGCTGACCCATTCTAACAAGAAAATTTAAATTGAGAGAAACAAAAAAAAATTTTAGCGTTACTTTGGATTATTGACAATTTACGTATTTCTTTAGTGTTTTTCGAAGAAAACTGTTGCACTGTTGCCGTCATTGCTTCAACGATCCATGGCATTTTGTTCTCCATCTACAACAAACATTAATGCAAGGTCCCTATTGATACCACTTGGTTATCAATAGGGGTCCTGTATTTTTGTGCTATCCTGCATTCCTGCTTGAATAAAGGCTCTAATATCTATATAAATGTACTGTATGTAAACTCGTAGGAGACAATGATTTTCAATGTAAGTGTTCATTGTTGTATCATTTTAGTTCTTTCCGATGGAACTCCAGTTAGCGAGGAACCTCATGTGTGTATTCCACCATCACTTCTTTGGGAAATCCATGATCTTATCACAATTGATGGCATGACTAGAAAAGAAGCAATATACTTGTTCCAAATGGCTATACTCCATGTACCTTTGTGAGAAATACTCCTGAGACATTTTTACACTGCCTTTGCAGTCTTGTTGGAACATTTTTATTTTGACATTTGGTCAAAGAATACAAAAAGGTTGGAGCTGATTTCAGTTCGTACTTGTACATTCCCAAAATTGATCCTGTGACAAAAGATGTCCACCATGACGGTGGTGACGACAATCGTGTGTATAAAAGGATAGCAACAAGTACTAGGAATGGGAATTGTGAAGCAATCGATTAGGCTGCATTTGATGCTGTTCTTTGTGATCCAAAGAGTGGTCTAACCCATGCAGCTGTAGTTGGTGAAAGGAAGCAAAGCTTGACTGATGCTCAACAGCTATTGTCATATCATGTGGTGGATTCACTGCAAAGACTGGGATATGAGACTGAGGCAGAATATGTAAAGGTTAGTTTAAAACTTTTGACTGCCGTAGAAATTGTCACAAGTTCCCAACTGTCACCATAATGAAAACGTTAAAACATGTTTTTTTTAGGTTGTTAACTGGCACAATGCAACAGATGGCAGAGGAATTACGCAGTTGTAGCGTTGTAAATACAACTATCAAATGTTAAATTACATTTTGGAAGTGTGGATGCCTTGGTACAAAGATTTCTACGATTTCTCTTTGGTTGACATTAACAAGTAAGTATAATCCTTCTCTGATAGACAAGTTATAGTGTCCTCACTCGGAATCCTATTTTATACAGAATTACATATGTGAATATTAATCACTTATGTGAAGCTATTATCATAAACTATGGTACTTGCAAGGTAGGAATTGCTGCAGGTATTAAAAGCAAATAGTGATGATAAGCACCTAACAAAAGTACGATCTGTAAGGTTGTATATTATTAAAAAATAGGTATGTGGAACTCTAAGAGGTGAAATACATCAATGAACAAGGTTAATACTAATCTAACATAACTTGAAACAAAATAAGAAATTATGTGTCCAAGCACAATTGTACCTGAGCACTAAATTGTCCAAGCACTTAACTATTAACGATATAATGGTACAAGAATCTTATTTGTCAGTTTTTTGTGCACCGACACAACGTTTTTCTTGGTGTTGTAGCACACAGTAACTTCAACGGTTAACATAAATTCTCTTATAGAAATGTCATCCAACAATTCAAAGCTTTCTGTGGAACCTCCAGGGACTTGACTTGTGTAAATATGATACAGTTGTTTGAGTTTGTCTTCAAACTGAAGCAAAGATATTGTATTTTCCGCCTTCAAGAACATGACGTTTGCAATTAAACGCTGTTGGCATTTGTGGAATAATTGCGCCAAACCACACTCTGTGCATTTAACCAATTGTTTTTCACCATTTCGAATTAGTTTCGTTTGGCACTTTTTGCAGGAAGAAAAGTGCTGAAGAGATGAAACTCCTTCCACAGGGCATTCAACTTTTTCTGTGTTCGGCAAGCCTTCAGCATCACCGTCTTCTCCTGTGATGAGGAAATCCGAATTATCGATCCTTGATATTTTATTAAGGGTGAGATACTTTGCCTTCTCGAACAACAATTTTGGAGATTTTGTAAATGGACAATGATTTTACCCACTGGATATTGTTCTCCCACAACACAAGGCGAATTGTGCCCGAGTTGTTCATAAACAAAGCTTCCTGTTTACGAAGTGTCTTCCTTTGGACAAGACCGTTTCCTCGCTACCTCTGAACGTTATGCGGCCACAAACATTCACAACAGCATTGGTATCTCCTTCCATAACTTCCGAGACAGTGGTTATCTCAGGCTTGCATTTATCTTCGGATTCGATCTCCTTGATATCGAACGATACCTCCGAGTCTAGTGGATCTTCCATTTTGGTCCTCTTATTTATGTGTACCTCGTCCTGATTTGTTCTGTTGTTCCTCTTTAGCTGGAACTTTGAAATTTTTAGCTCATACTTGGCCAGAAAATTTTGTTGCTTTTCTGGAGAAAAACATACTGATCTGTATCCGTTTGCAATGTCATATGGAAATACATATTGTCTCTGGCTTTTTTTTACTAAGGACAAGTTATACAGATAAGGAATCAAAGGTTTATCTGAAATGAAAAGATCATTTAAAAATGTTGGAAGCGAAACCAGGATTCATAATTAATTGTGTAAACGTTCTCTGGTTAAAAAAGATTTATTTATTAACAAACTTTCGAAAGTTGGCGAGACAGGCAGGGCCTTTATAACAAGAAAAAAAGAGCACGAACGAAACGTGAAAAAATGCACGAGTGGCTCTAATATCGCGAATCATGCGTGGGCAAACGACCACAGAATTGATTTTAAGAACGGAAAAATAATTGACAAGGGAAGCTATCGACACAGATCGACGTTAGAGTCTTGCCACACTGCATGCATGAAAGACGCTGATAACAACTCAAAACATTTGCCAGAACAATATTGCTTTTTGCTCAAAAAACTCTAAATTCTACACAATATATTTACGTAGGCGGAACTGTCAGTAATTGTCTTTTGTCAGTAAATGTAATTGTAAACCGCTCTTGTATAGCACTATTCACTCTGTATCATATCTTATATCACTAGCACATTATAAATCTACCCGTCGAAGACTGCAGACTGGCAGTCGAAAGCTTGTTAATAAATAAGTCTTTTTTAACCAGAGAACGTTTACACAATTAATGAAAAGATCAATTTGAAATTTGAAACATTGGGTTGGTTCTACAAGACGACCTTACTTTTTGTTTTTAACTCCCCTGTAATTACATTAACCGAAATAATTTATCCATTGCTAGAATATATTGTTATACAGCTATTTCAATTAAGGTTGTCCTTCCAAAAGCGTAAACCGTAAACTATGAGCGTGCAAGGAATGATGGGTTATTGCTTAATTACGCCTGTAAACTCGGGAAATGGCCTTTGTACGAAGAACCTTTTCTATAGAATACAGTGATAGGAATCATCCATGCTTTAGATATTGTTGCAAAACCAAAGTTTAGGGTTTAAAGGTCTATACAAGCAATAAATTGTTATCCTCTGTGTGGTCAGAGTTTTAGGTGTAAGGTTTTGAAAGGACAACCTTAATTGAATTAACTGTATATCAAGTATCAAAGTTCAAATTTCATGTCTTTGTAATGGACAAGAATGCATCACATGTCGGTCCACATGACATCATCACTGCGACCAATAATATACTGTAATAAAGATTTGATAAACTGTCCAAGAATAAAATGTGCGTCAAGAGTTTTGTGGACCCATGCCAATCTCTGGTCCACAAAACACATTGTTTCCGTCGACATCAGTAAATAAGTGATGTAACGGATCATAAAAGATTTAACAGTACCGTAACGCTTCAAAAATCACTTGGCATAAACGGTGTTGGGAAACCTTCCCGAATATTTGTCAATTGAGTATCTAGCAATCACTTACCTTCTGACAATTTGGCTTTAGAAATTTCCACCTCCTGTAAGAAGAAAATATGTATCGTTCAATAACATTAGAGGGCACTCAGAGACTGCATACCTCCGCCTACAGGGTGTATAAACGCAAGTGCACAGCCTACAGAGTGTATAAACGAAAGTGCATAAAGCAAAATTTATGCATTTATTAAATGACACTTAATAAGTTTTTATTTTACAAGTACAGTACAACAACAGCAATATGATCTATAGACCTTTCGACTTTAACGGCTTGTTTCTTGTTGCTTTTTGTGATTTATAACGATATTTGTGTGTATTTTAAGACTTTGTGCCCACAACGAAAGCAATAAAAGCGACTGGTTTTTCTCCCGTTTTTGTGTGGAAAAAATGACAACGTAGCGATGGTGTTTATCCAGAAGCGAAAAACAGCATTTTACTGAGATTTTAACGTCAATATAAAGGTTATTCCGTGAAGAATCAAGACAACTATGGAATGGAAGTATAATTTTTCGAATTTGACATAAATATGAAAGAACAACAACAGGTCAAAAATCACAAGAGAACGTCAAATGTTATTGATTCATACGGAAAAATATGAACTATGGCTGTGGCTCGATATAAACATTCTGCAAGCAGCTTACAAGTTTAAAAAATGAAGGCTACACTAATACCTGAGTGAGTTGTAATCCTATTTCTTCAACAATAGTTTCATATTTCTTACGATTTTGTTGTTGTATAGACGTTTTGTAGCCTTATTGGTTGTTTGTTTTGCCCATACCGCAAACTTGGCAATATAAATACAAAGTCAAGGTTTCCTGTTTCGATTGACTCCAGCATCTTTTTTGCTTTAAATATCATGTTATATTTTTTCAGAAGTATTTTTTCAACTTTCAAGATCAGTTTTATAAATATATTTTTCGAAAAAAGCTGTAATATTCACGAAAAAAAGCTGCCATAGCCGACAGCAAAAAAATATTTTGTCAATTTTCCAGCGTTTTTCCCCGTTTCCTAGGATACGAGGCCTCATCACGATTTATGAATAAGGTCTATTAGCAATTCGATTTCAATTCCCAGCGAACCTACAACCCAAAGGGGCATTTAATCATGTATTTCCCTCATTTCCTATGCATACACTTTTCTCTTCTAAATTTCCCTTCTAAATTTCCACGGAAAATTTAGTTGAAATCAAAGATTTCTTTATCTTCTAATTTCCCCCTGCACACTTGATGATGGAAATTTAGAAGACAAAAGCGTACCTCATTACCTCTCATTGGAGAGCTGTGCCTCATCAAAAATCATTGGCACAACTATGTACAGTATCTGACGACACCGTCCTGCACACATTCAAACAATTACTTTGCTACTTTTTATTCTGCAATCTTGAACATTTCAATTGTGGGAGAAAATTCGGTTTATGTGCATGCCTAGAAAGAATGAACATGCAGATGTGTCTCTGCGTGTGCGTATTATATGAAAAGTGTGAATGAATGGCCTAGCACTTTGCTGGACAGTAACAATGCGTAACTCCGTAAGCTTACATTGAATTTTGGTCGCGTGAAGACAATAGATAATGAAGGCTGAAGCTTAATGAGGCTTATCATCATATTACTATCCATTATATATTTGTAAAGCACACAATTTTTGACCAGCCTCCCTTATACAAGTGAGATTTACAATTGTATACAATCTAAAAAGATTATACCATTGTTTGTAAACCTTTATATATATACCTGTATACTGGTGTATAAATTATCACACATCCTAATTACGCATTCAGTAAGTTTTTTTTTAATTGACCGGGAAAAGCAAGACAAAATTTTGTTCATTTCTCGTTCAATTTTTAACAAAATTCAACCAAATTCTAATCAACTCTTCCTTAGCCGATGGGAAATGCATTCAAAAAATTATGTATGAAAATGTTTGGTATTTCTTGAGTTATCGTGCTCACAGACATACACACACACACACATACACACACACACACATACATACAAACCCAGATGATTACATAACCTCCTGGCGGAGGTAATTACAAGTTTGTAAAGTTGGCAATTGCTTGGAGTTGTTTTTCCTCTTCCAACCTGTATTGTAATGATTCATTTTTCTTCATACAAGTCAGTCTACCAAACGTCATTGGTTCTATTATTAATGACAATAAATTTTCGAGCACGACTTATGGCAACATACATCATTCCTAAAGTGGTCTCTCTTTTTCCTATATCAATCCATGCTTTTTTCAAAGTCATACCCTGACTTTTGTGGATTGTCAATGCCCAGGCAAGTGTTAAAGGTAATTGCCGTCTTTCAAGAATGCTATCTTGAACATTTACAGTGGCAGTAACTGGTGTAATAGGAACAATGGAGGGAATACTTGCAAAAGAAGGACCACAATAGTCATCAAACTTTACCAAAACAGCAATAGGCAAATCAGGTGGGGCATGGTTTTCTGCATAAATAATATCAATGATGCTTTCTGTTGATCCATTACATAGACCTACAGATGCCCATAAATTCATTGTTAACATTACTTTTGCTCCTTTGGAAATCAAAATAAATGGTTGTAAACCAAGCATATCTTGGGAACTAAAATGCTTAGCATCATCACTGGAATGTTGTGCATGGATTTCTGCAATGGGTGTGTTTATAATTGTACTTTGCTACTTCATCATTGCTAGAAAACAACCTTATTGCACTTAAAGCGGCAAGGTCACCCGCTGCGCATCCGTTCTGCGCATAGATCAACTTGAAAAAGTTCACCCAACTTTTTCAAGTGTATCGAATTTCAATATGGCGTCTGCCCAGGGCGTCATGCACGGGGATTCAAGGAAAAATGCTGTTCGAACAAAGGTGTTTTTGAGCCGAAACGAGTACAGAAATTTATGGGAGAAAGAGCACAGAAGGATCTATTAAGTACGTGGCAAGAGGCCAAAATAAGGGCTGGATATGAACATTCAAGTGACACTAACTTTGCTGCACATCTGTTGTCATTGGAATTTCGCCGCAGGTGGGTTTACAATATGATTTTCAATATATTTTGAAGAGTAAACGAAACTAATCTGCAATTTATTTTGCTTGGGTATTTAGGGGAATCAGTGTCTGCAAAAATACTGCCAAACAGCGACGAAATTCAAGCACATCGATTCTGGTGGCAACTGAGTCCTGTCTTGACAACGAAAGTGGAACACAATGAGTCTCATATGGTTTGAATAACAAGCAAACATCAGCCAAGGTATGAAGATGACATTCACTTTTATATAGGATGTGCTTTCTAATGGGAGTAATATTAATATTCAGTTTTAAAATACGATTTTGCAAGGTATAGACCTTATTCATAAATCGTGATCGAGGCCTCGTATCCTAGGATACGGGGGGAAACGCGGGAAAACGCACGGAAAACCTTTTCCAAGGGGTTTTCCCTCAGATAATTTGAGAAAGGTAAATACAAATAAAAAAATGTCTTCAGCAATGCCAATGTCTTCGGCCACGTCTTCGAGAGTATTGACAGAAAATGACATTCCCGGTTCTTCTTTTGGTGGTAAACTTCCGGCATTATTTAAAAAGGACGAGCTACGTTTCTGGCTAAAATGTCGGGGCGACTCGTTAAAAGGTCTTAAGACGAAAGCTCAATACGTTAAAAGGTACAGTGTGTATATCTACTGTTTAGTCCTGCAGGTCTACACCTTAATAACAAGAAACAAACAAGTTGTTTATGTAGTATTACGCTATATTAAGTTATTAACAACTAAATTAAACATAAATTTTATATTACCAAATTAAACTCAGGCTCAGCGTACAATTTTCATACATATTTATTTGTTTGTTGTGATACAACTTAATATCGCTGCCAGTTTTCAATAAACTAGGCGCGTATATTTTTACGTTTCATTCTGAAAGGACAAACTCACAAATATTAAAATTTAATAAATCCTAATCCAAAATGTATTCAATTTTTTAAATTTAAATGAATGACCTTGGAAAGGTCGTCGCGACACAGTTTTTACCTTGAGTTGACCTTGTCTTGACAGAACAAAACACAAAAGTTGCATTTTGAAAAATCGAAACTGTTTATTCAAACTTTCTGTTTAATTCCGCACATAGTCCAGTAAATTCTTAGTTCTACAACTAAAATCCCCAGAATATTTCAAATATCTAATTCTTGTTTTTTAAGAGTTGAAGCGTATATCCAGTCAGGACGTGATAAGTTTATTACTGACCCGGACAAAGACCAAATTTACACAAAGAGGAAACAACGCCGACTTATATTAGACGAACAGTCAAACAAAAAACAACTGAATGGAACGACAGTTTACCTGTCCCTTGGTTGGTCGAAAGACCTCAAACGAATGCCGTTTTTTACCAGGGCTGAAATGAATTTATTTATCGTAAATTCCGGCAAAAACCTAACACACACTCCATGCGTACAAAGTAACTTTAGGAAAGCAACAACATTTTTACATGAAGAATATTTGAAAAATATATTTTCCAGCACTGACGAAAAATACTTCTATTTCAAAGCACAATGTCACCATAGTTTTAAGAAGAACGATCCACCACATGAATTAAAAATTGCCTTATGTCTCATTACTGGCAATGTTAAAAATGCTCAATGTTCTTGTGTGGCTGGCAAAGTAGGCTTTTGTAACCATGTTCTAGCCCTAATGATGAAGCTTTGCAAATTCAGTTTGTACAACTGTGTTACTATTAATGAACTTGACAATGAAATTGACATGCAACCACAGTATTCTTGCACTTCCAAGCTACAGCAATGGCATCACAAAACCAGAGGAGATGACATTAAACCAGAACCTGTGATGAATATCATGGTTAACAAACCTACCACCATGTCAGATAAACCAGAAACATCCAGAGGAGTTAGATGTCAGTTGTACGAGGCACGAAACAATCTAAAAAGGCAAACAACAGATGAGATAAAGTTTAAGTCTGCACTGCACAACATCAACCATTGCATTCCACTAGCCACAATTATGCAACCCGAAAACAATAGCTATATCCACACAAAGTTTGGTGAGAGCCCTGAAGGTTCTTATGCAAGTTATCAACTCAGTATAACTGAGCACAATTTTGAAGTTTGTTGCAGCACCGACTCAGTTCCTCGATCACTAAACACTGTTTCACTAAATTCTCCAATACCGGGATATCCTTCATTTCCTATTTCAGACATGCAGACACCAACTACATATACAACTGCCTCGTCTTTGGGTAAGGAAGAAAAACAATTACTAGAGCACCTGACTTGTGATTGCAACAAAGTAAATGATATTGAAACCCAGACAAGGGACCAAGCTGAATCTCAAGAGTGGGTTAACCAACGAAAATTTCGAATAACTGCTTCAAACTTTGGCTTGGTAAAAAACAGAAAAAGAAATCATGAAAATTTAGTTACAAATCTCATAAACCCCAAGTCGTTTACATCAAGGCATACCATGCATGGCAAGAAATATGAATCAGTTGCAATACAGCAATATGAAAAGTATATGAGAGATAGCCGTAATCCTGTCACTGTTCAAAGATCTGGTTTCGTGGTAGACTTGGACAACCCATTTTTAGGGGCCTCACCAGATGGAAAAGTAATCGACTATGGTTGCAGTGAGATGTATGGTATTTTGGAAGTTAAATGTCCAGAAACCAAATTTCAAGTCACACCCCTAGATGCATGTTCTGACCCAGCTTTTTACCTTGAAAATATAGATGGGATGCCAAGGCTTAAACACAATCACACATATTATGACCAGGTTCAGGGTCAGTTAGGCGTTACTAAAGATAAATGGTGCGACTTTGTTGTTTATACAAACAAAGGGATGTGCATTAAACGTTTTAGATTGAATGAAAGCTATTGGTCTGAACTAAAGCACAAGTTAAGATGCTTTTATTTTGAAAAATTTCTACCAATAGCAGCAATTGAATTCACTAAGTGAAGAAAATAGTTCCTGCAAAATCCTCTATTTTTAGCTTCCCCCCTGAATCTCTATTTGCTGAAATAATAATATATTAGTATATATTACAGATTGAAACTCTGTACCTGAACTTCATGTCTTTGAAAGTGTACAGTAGAGTAAATATAGGCATGCACCCTGGAGCTTAATAGGGGATTTACAGGATCAAGTAATATGCAATCATATAGTAATTAAATTATCTCATAATCACAATAGAGTTGATAACGTTAACAAAGTTCATTTTTCACTTGATATAATTGGATTTTGTGCATTGCATAAAAAAGCACAAACACTCCACATTTGATTAACAACACCAAATGTATTTATTGGAACAGCACTGTCCCAAATGTGGAAGTTTTTTATCTTACTAATTGCCCTTTCAATATGAATCCGCAAGCTGGCAATTTGTTGTGTTTTTACCACATCCTCTGCTGTCATTTGTACATTTCCTTCACGAAAGGGTGGTATATTAAGAGTCACATTAAGGGGTAGAATATCTTCAATCTGAAATCCTTTGTCAGCCATCACAGAGTCACCATCATCAAACTGTTGATTAAGAAATCCACATCTACATACTATTTCTCTATCTGAAATACTTCCAGTATACAACTGGCTAATGAAGGTTATTGCACCATTTGGAGCAATTCCAATCAATGCTTTAAGAGTCACATGATTTTTATAGGAGCTAAACAACTCGGAGTTTAAAACCAAACTACTGGGTGTCTCGCAGTGAATCTCAGTGCAGTCAATAATGACTCGAGTTGATGGATATTTATCCTTAAAATCTTCAGGCATTGTGTCGGACACCGTCTGTCTACTTGGCCAAATGCAAATCTGTCCAAATTTCAAAAACATAAAATTTATCCATCGAAGAAAGGTCCTGCTAATGGTAGGTTGGGAAACACCATATAGGTTGGCTAAATGATGTTCAGAAAATCCCCTTCTTAAGCGACATAGAACCAAAAAGAATTGTTCTAAAGGCTGAAGTTTCTGAGGGCGGCCCCTTTTAGGTGTTTTGGTTTCAGCATCAATTTCAATAGTATCACAATTAGGATCTGAACCAGGTGTTATTTCATCTGGTGACCGCATATTTTCACAGTCAGGTCCAGGATCAAGGAACTCAAAAACAGCTAAAAATGTTGCACGATCTGGGAATCCTGTATAAAAAGCTATATCAGTGTCTTCAGGAAAGGAATTCACTGAAAAAATGCGAGACTGCAAGTCAATATTGTGTTCTCGTAGGGAGGCTGTTGAGTCAGTCAAGTACTTTTTTTCTCTTTCGGAATTTCGAAGTTTGTCCTCAAGTGTTTTTATAGTTGCACACATTGTTAGGTAAGCGTTTTCTGCTGATAGCCCTTGTTGTATTTGATATTCTGAAAAGCTGCATTGAGCACTTTCAGCTGTCGGCATTGCATCGCAATTCGGTGGAAATTTTGAAGGAATTGCATCCTTTGCCAAATTTACACGTCCATTTGAGGACTCGAACATTTCATTTTCAAGAAAATGAATGGAGCAAACTTTCGATTGAGCGTTTAATACCTCGTCTTCCAATCCTATAGCTTCAAGCCATTGTATTCGCAAAGACTCTTTATCTGGAAGCTTAAAATATGAGACTTTAGTCTCACTTTTTGAATTTTCGAATCCTTTTTGACGACACTGAGGCACACAACAATACCTTACATTAGGCATTTTAAAATCAGCACTGACTGGATTCCCTTCGAGGCACCTATTTTATACTATAAACCCAAGAATGCTTGTAACAATTTCATTGTACAGTTAAATTTGTTTTATTTTGTATGAAGATGGTGACGCTGTGATTTCATTTGAATTTTTGAAAAGTAGAACTAGTTTGGCCTTACCTTGGATTAAATCCTTGTCAATCCAACAACAAAGAGCAAACAGTTGATCAAATTTGTACTTGCTTCGTAAAGATTATACCTTTCTGAAGAAGCTGTATCATCACCACAGAATAAAGTTACAGCAAGAAGCGTAACTCAAGCAAGTATTGTCCGCGTCATAGAATAAGAAATGAATAGAAGGGCAACTCGCGTCGGAACCTTTGAAGTTTTTGAAGCCGCGCATGTCGCCTCGCGCATACCGGAAATTGCCCGCTCTAATTGCTCGCAGCCAGTAAAGCCAGTCAATTTATTAGAGATTTGTATTGCAGAATGGCCATTTGGCTGAATAAATCGACTATTTTTCGCAAACGAACGATTCAAATTACAAACCACGGCTGCTGGTTGTAATTTGAAGGTTAGTGATACATTTCTGTTGCCTGGTTATGAGCTGTTAAAGAATGCGAAATAAGTGCGAAATTTAAACGTATAAATTCATGTTGTTTACTTACAAAGTATAAAGTACAATATATTAACATATGATAGTTTGGTTTATTTATTGGAAAAATTCGATGTCTTCGAAGTAATATTGTAGTAATAGGAATGAATGTTAATTCATAATCAT